GCTTCCCATCCAGGAAGCTTTTTCCATTCAAAATGTCAGGAATAGTGTTGAGTTCCATGTTTTATACAGTAGCCCAACAACACCTTGTTTTTGTTTTGAAAACATGTTTGACTCAAAACTTTTCACATGCAGCACAACAGTAAATGCGAAGAAATGGATGCTATGCGCAGAACAGTAATTTCCCTCTGGGATTATTTAGGTATTTCTGATTCTGATTCTGAACAGAAACCATTTATTGTGCGAGTGGATGCCGTGTATGAAATGCATGAGAAAATGAGGCAAATATATATTGAATATATATATGTATTGAAAGTGTCATCAAAGTCACATCTCATCCACATTCATTGCATTATGGACTCTATATGAATGTAGCTCTACTTAAATGAAAAAGTCACATACCAGCCAGATCTAAGCATTTCACATAAAAATTCAGAATTGGGACAAATTTTCATGCTCCATGAAGAGGGCCAAGAGGACTTTTTAATGTAACTTGGTGCTCCATGCAAGACAAACCTATATGTTAGATAAAGATTAGAGCACAATTACATTTTCTCCTTAAAAGTAATACTATGGTCTGGATAAAAAAAAAAAAAAAAAAACATTTAGTGAGTACCACTGCTGTAACCTAGCAACTACACAATTGTTGATGCCATGATGTGAAAAAAAAAAAAAAAAAAACATTTAGTGAGTACCACTGCTGTAACCTAGCAACTACACAATTGTTGATGCCATGATGTGAAAGTACTGTTGAAATGTGTGAGAAATAAAGTCCAATTATATATATATTTTTTTTATGAAAATCTTAGTGAAGGAGAAAAACAATGCAATATACCCCTCTAAAAAGATATTTAGTTTTACAGTTGATTTTAGCCTTAAACACTAATTAAAATATTGTTTTTAAATGTTAGTCACGTGTTTTTGAACGACTTCAACTCCAGACCCCTCCATAAGAAGTGGGACCGGAGTGTTCCAACTACATGATCACACTTCTCACCCTCCTCAGAAGAATTATGCTGGCGAGGAGAGTCCGGCTTATTGCCAAACCTCTGCTTCAGTAGGAACAGTTGGGTTTATTTAAAGGGTCTACATTTACTTTTTAGCCCCAATCAAAACCTATGGTAGTTTTTACAGAAGGATTGTAGAAATTGCAAAACAATGCAAATATCTGCCACATTCTGCAGCCTTTTAGTCTAACTAATGAAATTAATGTGTGGAATATATTGTACACTTTATATTAATCTGTTAGTATTTTGCAAAACCATAGATTTACATTTAGAATTCATCATTAGCCTCGCCGAAATGATTGGTTGTTGGTTTGATTTTTAAACTAATGAATTTAGACCTTAATTTAACTGCAGGTTAAAGGCAAATTAAACTTTATTTTCTACACAACCACAGACCAACTCTGCCATATGTAGAAATAAATACAGAAATAATTAAACGCTCAATAAATAAATGAGCACATAATTTATTTATATTTATAAAAACAATATACAAATAAATGTGGGTAGAAATTTCTGTATGCATACA